TTTTCTCACGTCCCTAGCTCCATTTACATTCACTGATGCAATATTGACCTCACTCATAAGAAATGAGAAATAAAACAGTAAAAACAAACCACTGAATATTGTAATAAACCTCTCTTTTATCTTAAAGAGGTTCAATCAAATTAATGGAGGCCAGATGGTATATCACAACACTAGGATTTTATAGAAACTTACTTTATTTGACAATTATACATAGAAAAATATAACCGTTATGTAAAGAGACATTTAAATAAGTCCAACGAACATTTCACTCCGTACACCTACACTAGGACAAACGGCGCTACACAAGTGAAACTTCAACACTGCACGACACTGCACTCTAATGGTTATTCCCAGCCCCACACGGCACACTAGAAATCGTGATCACACAATCGGTTTAACAGGTGAAAAGATCAGCGCCTCCCCAGTCCCGTACACGGAGACGGAGTAATCATGTTCATATCAACTTTAAAACTCAGAACTACCATACACACTCACACATACACGCAACACATAAAGAGACTTAAAATGTAAAACACTTCCCCGTTTCCCGGACACAAGACCCCACCCCGGGGTCTGGGGAAAGGAATCAGCCGTGCCGGATCCGTATCTTCAAAGAAAGCACGCGCTCCTTTTCGCTTTATCGTCTCCGCAGTTACGGCAATTAATCACAACGTCACTGGCAGTAATTAGTCTTTGGTACACAGCACACTTCTCCTTGGGAATCACAATATCTGGAATACGCATGAGTCCTCTTTGCACACAATACGGTCTCCTTATATGGTCAGCGCTCCTAAACCCTCCCCAACGTTATCTAGCTACACAAATTCCATCCATTTATCTAACTATCTTCGTTGCCGGACAAACCCTAATGGTCTCGAGCAACACCAAGCATCCCCATCTTTCCCTGAGCGCCCAAAAACACCTCCCCCCCCTCTCACCTGTTCTCCTCCTTAAACGTCCTCCAGGTGAGTTCAATTATCCATACATTGTCCATCAGACGAGAACATGCTACAAAAAGGTTCCTATAGGCGGGGCCAAGGCCCAACTAAGAAACGAACTCCCCCAGCGTTCATCACAATATCATCAAATCAGCTCTTTTCACCATCATCATTACTTAATTCAGTACTGAGTTTTCTCACCAATTTCTTTAACCGGTACACTTCCTTATTAGTAAAAAA